ACATTTACAGAGCACCTGCTGTGTGCCCGGCGCAATGCAGGGCAGCTGGGGTAGTGGTGACGGCCCTCAGGGTGGGAGATGGAAGGCAGATGAGAAGAGGGATTTGAGTTTGTATTGGCGGGGTAAACGACTGGCTGCTGGACTGGGACACCTTGCACCTAATTTGGGGGAGAAGAGCCAGAACGTCAGGGAAGGCTTCTTGGAGAAAATCGCACCTGAGTGGACACCTGCAGGATAAGCAGCCCAGTGAAGGAGGACTCGGAGGGAGTCACGGGAAGGTGGTCTGCAGGTGCAAGCGGCCCTAATGCCTGAGTTGAGGGCCTGGAGAGGTTCTGCGGGAACAGAAAACTAAACTGAATTCGTCTTCCTCCTTCCTAAACCTTCATCTCGGGTGCAGTATCCTGCACACAGCTAGACAGAAACAGGCGGCTAGAGGTGCAGATTTAGAGGTCATCAGCAAATGGATGGTGGTTCAAACCCTGAGAGCGACTGAAATGGTCCAGGCCAAGCTCTAGAAGAGTGAAGGTGGAGGACAGAACCCTAGGAAACAGCCTGAAAGAAAGGACGGAGGGAAACAACTCAAGGTATACAAAGGAAGGCAGGTGACAGGGAGAATCAGAAGAGTGACATGACTGCTCACCCACCATCATGCCCGCAGTGCCCAGTGCAGCATCTGGCACAGTGTGGGCTCCCTGGAAAGAGCGGTGTGAAAGAACGCAAAGAGGGCATCAGGAGCGTGTCAGTGACCAACGGTGTGAAGTCCAACCAGTTAAGGACTGGAAAATGCCCAGAGGGTGGCAAATAAGAGGTCAGCTTGAGAACAGTGCAAGCAGAAATCAGACCAGGCGGGGGTTGAACTATTGGTGTCTCAGAAAAAGATGAGCCCAGCGGGGTACTGAGCTGGGTGTCCCAGGTCCAAACCTTGTCCACACCAGTGATTTATATTATGAGCTCTGGGCCTCATATTCTGACTTTTCCAAATACTGCAGCCTCCAAAAAGTGCCCCTCACACACACATTTTTTGGCAGGGAAAAAGAACCTTTTTTTCAATAAATAACAAAAAATGTGATCATACAGTCATTGAGATTCTTAGTATGTCATTGAGCATTGATTGGAAAATGTTGCAACTTCATACATCATGTGAACACTAGCACGTGTTCTTAATTTCACAAAATATATTGAAACCACTTCACACAACTCTGGAACTCATATTTGTGTTTCCTGATACGTTACTGTTCCCACATGCTATCATCCTTTGTTGATGTCACAATAAATATGTGTTTAGGTGGAAGTTGCTCTTTTTCTGAAGATGGTTCCTCTCCTGCACATATTATCTGGAGGGCTTTTTCTATGTTCTTTAATCCTTTGGGGTTACTATCTCTCTCAGTCCTCTTGAGTTTTGAGTTTTTAACTGTAGTTTGAGGACACTGTCTTGATGCTTTTTCAGTTTTGAAATTTGTTCTCACTAATTGCCATTTTCCTGACAAAACGTTAGATAACATTCTGTGTCACTGAATGGCTTTGCCCCCCTTCATGTGATTCAGTAGCTCCTGATGCTCCATGCTCGCTTGCGCCAGCTCATCCTGCATTCCTGTTTGAAGAGACAGCTCGACAGTTCTTAATAGGCTTGTAAACATCTAGGCCAGAGCATGTGGGAAGGCCACCGAAGGCCTCATGGGCCTTGGTGGAGATTTTGCATATTTGCATTCCCAGAGCAGCTTGAGCTACAGAGCCAAAGAGAAGGCAAACAGCTGAGAGCAATTAAAAATGATGTTGATGCCTTTAAGCAGCACTCTTGATAAAGCAGGAGAAGCCATGCACAAAGTACCTTCTTGTCTTCGCTGACCCTCTCTCCCACAAAATGCAGTATTCTGCACTTTGCGTAAATCTGCTGTGATGGCCCTTTCTTTAAACATTTTGTTTTCTTTGAAGACGTGTTTTTCATAGGGTATTTTGGATTTGCAACTGAAGACATTAAAATTCTGTTGATCTCAAGTTGTGTTTGAAGTTTAAAAGCTTTGTCCTGGGGACCGGCCCGGTGGCACAAGCGGTTAAGTGCGCGCGCTCCGCTGCGGCGGCCCGGGGTTCGCTGGTTCGGATCCCGGGCGTGCACCGACACGCTGCTTGGCAGGCCATGCTGTGGCGGCGTCCCATATAAAGTGGAGGAAGATGGGCACAGATGTTAGCCCAGGGCCGTCTTCCTCAGCAAAAAAAGAGGAGGATTGGCAGATGTTAGCACAGGGCTGATCTCCTCACAAAAAAAAAAATAAATAAAAAATAAAATAAAATAAAAGCTTTGTCCTGAAATAGCTTATAATGATGCTCTTAAGTTTTTCCTAAATGCTTGCTATTGTCCTCAGCAGTTTTCTAACTCGTTATAAGTCTGAAACATTCTTTTTCTAAGACAGTGGTTCTCAAACCCAGTCCTTATCTCAGGACCCCTTTACACTCTTAAAAATTATTGGAGACTCTAAAGAGCTTTTGTTTGTGTGGGTTATATCTACTTTATTAGGGATTACTACTGAGACATATTTTGTTTACTTATGAATTCATTTTAAAATAACAATAATAAAACCATTTGATGTTAAAGAGAATATTTTTATGAAAAGTTACTATGTTTACTCTCCCAAATTTTTGCATGTGAAATGAGTGACACTTTTACATTTTCGTAGATCTCTTAACGTCTGCCTTCATGGAAGGCAGCTAGATTCTCATATCTGTTTCTATATTCATTCTGTTGTGACATCACAAGTCAGCCTCTGGAAAACTCCACTGTACACCTGTGAGAGAATTCTAGTGAAAAAGATAAATAACATCTTACCATTATTATGAAAATAGTTTTGAGCCCCAGCGGGCCTTGCAAACCCACAAACCACACTTTGAGAACCACTACCCTAAAATGGCAAGCTTTTCAAGTTGTGCCTACAGCTTCATTTGATCCTAAGCTTTTTTCCCTTCCGAACAGGGAAGGGAAAGCCTTCTAAGCCTCCAGTTACACATATGATGGACTTTCTTGCTGTATCCTCTCTCTCATCTCTTTTGTCTCTCTGTGCTTCTTCTAACCTATCTTCCAATTCAGTTATTCTTCAACTGTCTAATCTGCTGCTAAACCCATCCAACACCATATTTGGTGCTCTTCCTTCTGGCATGCCCCCTCCTTCCACCTGAGCTCACTTTCTTTCTGCCTGAATAATGAACGCTGAATTTTTTTTTAACTGTAGATCTGCTGGTAATTATTCTCTCAGTCTTAGGTTATCTGAAATGTCTTTATTTCACCTTCTTTACTGAAGGCTAATTTCTGTATGCATAGATTTCTAGATTGGCAGTTATGTCAAGATTTTCTATTTGTCACTAGTTTTCCATGGCTTTATTATGAGGTTTCAAGGTGTTGGTGTATTTTCCTTTATCTGCTTGCTTGGTTTCTATAAGGCTTTTTGAAACTTTGGTGTGATTTTTTTCCATCACTTTTGGAAAATTCTCAGTCAGCCATTATCTCTTCTAATATTTCTGCCCCATCTCTCTCTCATTTCCTTCTAAGCCTCCAGTTACACATATGATGGACTTTCTTGCTGTATCCTCTCTCTCATCTCTTTTGTCTCTCTGTGCTTCTTCTAACCTATCTTCCAATTCAGTTATTCTTCAACTGTCTAATCTGCTGCTAAACCCATCCAATTTCTATTTAGCTGTTTTTCAAATCGGCTAAGTGGTTTTTTGTTTCGTTTTTTTACAATTTCCAGTTTTCTGCTGAAATGAGTCTTATTTTTTATTTCCTTGCACATAGTAAGCATGGTTATTTTTAAAGTCTGTGTCTTAGGTCCAGTGTCTGGAGCTCCTATGGAAGTCTTTATATTGTCTATTGAGTAGAATTACTATGCATAGAATAGATGGATAAAAATATGCAGAGCGAAAAGTTAAATCAAAGAGAAACGGCAAGAAAACCACAGAGACGGGAGACTCGACTTCTCAGTCTGTAACATGGCAAGTAAAGACGGTCCCTTTTTCAGGTTGACCAACTCGTCCGCTTTGTCCAGGACCTTCAGGTTTCAACGCTGAAACTCCCGCGTCCCGGACAAATCCGGACGATTAGTTCCGGTATTATGACTCACACCCCCACGCCCCCTCCCCCAGCACTCCGCCCGCCTCGCCTCGCCGGCCGGCCTCCACACGGCCATCACCGGGGAGGCCGCTAGGGGCGCTGTGGTGCGCAAGCGTGGTCCGGGAGGCGCACTGGTCTTGGGGCGCCGCCGCTCCTTCCGCCTTCCCGGCAGGCCCTGCGCGGCGCCTGCGCATTCGGTGACCTTCCCGAGTAGTTGGCCGTGCGGACTGGGGTGGCGTGAGCCGGCAGTCGTGCGCCGAGGTGAGTGCGAGGGCCCGGGCCAGGGCCAGCTGCGCAGCGCGGGGCAGCCGGGACGCTGGGGGCTGGGGCAGCAGGCGGCGGGGGCCGGGGGCGAGCTTGGCCCCCGCGAGGGGAGCGGGCGGGAGCCTCCCCGGCCCTTCAGTGCTCCCCACTGACCTTGGGTCCGACCCCTCCCCCGCGTGTCTTTCTGCCGCGTCCCCGAACTGTGAAGGGAGGCGGTCCAGGGATCAGCTGTCAGTGGGAAGTCACGCCTAGGCTGCGTTACCCTTTCTGCTTTGCGTTAGCGCATCTCAACGCTCCTGCACCATTGTTCTCTGATGAGGGGCTGCTTTGGCTGTGAGGCTCAGCCTCCTGACCGAGGTTTCGCGGCCAGTTACTGATGGAGCCAGAGTCCAAACCAAGAATTCTCCCCCCACGCTTAGTACTTGATGTGCTTTGTACCTCAAGTTCCCTTGCAACACGCTTGTTCTCCAAGTTATGCTGTGCATATGGCAAGGCCTTGGAAGAGGGGAAACGGGATCAGAGGGCATGACTGCGCTTTTATGGAGCTACGCTTGCGAATCCCCTACTGGAACGTTCCCTATATCCAGTGTAAGGGCAGGTAATAGTTTGCTGTTAATGTATTGTGCCAAAACCTTTGCAGACTTACACGGAAACGGTGGGCACCCATTTGACCTTTGATAGGATGGGCCTTTGAAGGAACGGGGGCTATAAACCCCACACAGAGAGCTGGGAAATGTGGCTGGACAGAGGGAACTCAGGTGGAAGAAGTAGGGGGAATTTACTAAATATTGGGAACATGTCACTTGTCCAGCCAAATATGGCAACCTTGGCGCAAAGGAAAGTCGAGGGAAAAAGGGTAAGTATCTTCAGGACACTGTGTAGCAGTCCAGGATCCTTTTAGGTGAGGAAACAGGTGGGGCGCTGGCGCCCTGAGCAAAATATCAAGATAACTGAAGTGTCTTGAGCCCCTTGTTAGCTTCTCTGCACCCTCCCTGTTGACTCTGCTCTTTTCCCTCTAGATCTTCCTCTGGCCTTGCTCTGATGCCCATACCTGGCCTCACTGAGTGAGGGCATCTTCTTAGATCCTCCCTCTTAGAATCCCAGTAGGTCAGTACTATGGCCATCAGCTGGGTATTTGTAGCGTTCTTTCTGCTGTTGATGTGATCATTTACTGACTTCTTACTCCACCTCAGGCACCAGGCTGGGTCCTTTATGTTTCCTCCTTGAATCCCATGGAGAGCCCCGTGAGGCAGGTGGAGGCACCCTTGTTTCACAGAAAGGGAAACCTCTGAAACGACAGCTTCGAGACTTGCCCATGGTTAAGGGCAGAACAGGCAGAGCTGGTGTTGGAACCCAGGATTCCCAGTGTAGGGGAGGAAGAGAATTCCTCTACCCATCTAGGTCCTTCTGGCCGATCTACAAATTAAATTGACATGAGACAGAATAACAGGAGAAAATCGAAGAAAACTTTATAATGTGTATACATGGGAGAAACCCAGGAAAACTGAGCAACGCGCCAGAATGGCTGAGGTCACCGCCTTAAATACCATTTTTAGCTAAAGACAAAGGAGGGTGTTGGGGTAGTGTTTTGGGACTTCAGGGGGGAGGAAGGCAATTTACATGGAGAGGGGAATGCAAAGGGGCCAACTATAGACGATGTGACCTGAGAGGTACATTTTACATTATATTACAGTGATCTTGTGGTATTAGCTCCTTCCTGGAACAGGCCCTTCTATTTTAAATCTTTTAGGCAGTTGAGGGAGGAGGTCAAAGTTTCTTTCAGGGTCTTCTGTTCTTAAGAATAATCGAGCCAAAAAGACACATTTTGGGGTGGCCAATTCTGATTCCCCAAATCAGGCTTCCAACCCCGTTGGTCGTCTGGACCACCTTCCTCCCCAGACATTGCTGGGTGCAGGGAGGGGAGGAGGCACTCAGTGCCTCTGAACTTTTCCCATCTGGGGCTTCCACAGGCCTCCTCTGGGTCCTGTTTGGTCCTCTCAGGCACCTTCTCAAGGCAGGCATGTTGGTTTTTTGGAACCTTGTGCCCTGGCAGAGCATCCTGGGATAGTCTGAGGACAGGAAGTGTGAGGGCAGACGTGTCTACAAGAGGTTCCAGGAGGAGGACACAGCTGCATCCTTCAGGGTCACACTCGGGGGGCTTGCTAGCCTTCAGGACTGTGCCTCAGCCTGAGTAAGTTCTCTCCTGAGAAGAGCTGGAAGCCAGGCCTTGGAGCAGGGGCCTGGGTGACTCAAATCCAGCTGTGTGATCTCAGGCAACTTCCTCCAAGTACCCAACCCACCTTCTAGGGGTTGGGGAGTAGTGCAGGAAATAAGAATGCAAAGCACTTCATGAAGCTGTTAAATTTGCATGACATTCTTAGAATAAAAGCTGAACTTTTTATTGTGGCCTCCAGGCCCTAAATGAGCTGGCCTACCTTCCCTCCCGTGGTCCAGCCATGGTGTTTTCTATACCCAGCAGTCGATGTAGGACAGCAGACCCTGTGCATACTTGATGCAGAGGAACTCACCTCATCTTCTTAACAGCCCTTTGAGGTGGGTACTGTTTTTATCCCTGTTTCATAGAAGGGAGAACTGAGGCAGTTAACGTTAGCTGGAAAATGGCAGGGCCAGGATTTGAGTCTGGGCAGCCACAGTGGCCTTCTTCCCATTCTTCCCCGCTCTCCGAGCTCATTCTGACCTCAGGGTCTTGGCACATAAGCTGCCTCTGACGAGGACACTTTTCTCCCAGATATCCTAGCTCCTGAAACAACGCTCAGCACCTAGTACACGCACGGTTCACCTTTGCTGAATGAATAGTGATCCGCGAGCCAGGGTTCAGTAATGGGAGACCAGAGAAACTGAACGGAAGTAAAATTTTGTGTAGCCCAAGTAGCAGTGTGAAAAGAACAATAGATGAGGCTCTGCTGGGGAGGGCATGAGGCAGCCTTACAATTGAAGCCAAAGTAGCATTTTCAAGTAAAATGGAAAGTACTTAGATCTAGTTATTCCTGACAGTGATTTGAATGACTGTAGTTTAATAGACTACTTCAGGTGTTACAAAGCTTATTAAAATGAAAATGAGGGCATCTAATTTTAGAGTCTGCAGTAAATTATAAATGTAATCAAAAGCATTACTTTGAGACCTGCACATAAAAGTGAGCTGTGTCAGTTCAGAATTTGATGGCTTTTCCCAATCAAATCCAGTAATTAGTTAAATATTTTTACTTATTAAATAATTTGTCGTAATTGCAGCTCTTATGAAGTGACCATGTCGCCTTATGCTATCTACTTTGTATTTAGCAATGGACTTCAAGACTGAGATACATGTAAAACATTGTGACTATTGTTATAAACTCTGTATTGTATCATTGAAAGTTGCTAAGAGAATAGAATTTAAAGTGCTCACCAAAAAAAAAAAAAATAAGATGTGAGGTGATGGATGTGTTAATTAACTAGATGGGGGAAATACTTTCACAATGTATGCATATATCAAGTCACCACCACAATGGACATTTAAATATCTTACAATTTTGTATGTCAGTTATACCTCAGTAAAGCTGAAATTACAAAATAAAAAGGACTGAGATACAGCTGATCAGCGTGTGCCCAAGCCTGGGTGTTAGTCCCACAAGGAAATCACCTTGCCTTGACCATGCTCTATTTCAGCTTTGAATGCCAACAGTTCTTAATATGACGATGCAGACGTACCAGTTTTTCAATTTAAAAGTTAAAAAAGTGGTGTGTGATTTTGGGCATAGTGTTAGTGGAGGTCAGCCATCAGAGAGGGGGAACATTTGAAGACAGTGCAGGACGGCACCGGCTGGGAGAGCTCTGGGGCTTGAGGAGTGAGGTGACTGAGCACAGAGGTGGCCACGGTCAGGGCGTTGAGGGGTGAGTGGAGCTTGAAGAGCTACTGAGAGCAGCAGCTTCCATGCGGATGTAGGAATGGCTTCCGGGGAGCAGGTCTGGCATAAGAGCAGTTGTGGGGGTAGTTGTGGGAAATAGGGTTGAACTTCATGAATAAATGAAGATCTCTTACCAGTTAGGTTTAAGACAATAGTCGTGTTAATATTTATCACTGTATTCCTTTTCAGATGCTTCAAAGCCTTATTAAAAATGTTTGGGTCCCCATGAAGCCCTACTATACCCAAGTTTACCAGGAGATTTGGGCAGGAATGGGGTTGATGGGCTTCATCGTTTATAAAATCAGGAGTGCTGGTAAGTTTCTATAATTATGTTTGAGCCATTAGAGGTCAGGAAGAAAATGATTTTCAAAAGGAATCACAATTCATATTGTAAAGGAACTATGCTTCTTAAGTGGAGTGAACATCAGAACCCTCAGTGGTCCTTTGTTAAAATGTGGGGAGTACATGCCAGCTATGAGACATTTGGGGACTATTGGGTAAATTTGAACAAGACCTTGATATCAGGGAATTGTGAATTTTCTTAGGTGTGACAGTGGTATTCTGAATGCATAGGAGATGTCCTTAGTTTTAAGAGATGCAGGCTAAAATAATTAGGAGTGTCATGGTATAATGGTGTTTTCTTGTACCTTTTCCACTGTTCTGGATGTTTGAAATATTTGCCTCCTAAAAGTCAGGGCAAGGTAATCATTTGGCCCTTAGTGGGGCAGAGATGAGGCCCAGTCGTGTATTGACAAGCGATTGGTTACAAAGAGGAAGAAAGGAGAAAGCTTTGAACTGAGACTGGAGTTTGGGATATGGTAGGATGTAAGAGCCCTGCAGATTCTGAAGGGCGGTTTACTGTTCATAGGACAGTTTGGGTAAATTGTATCACTTCTTGGCTATGAGACGCTATAGTAACTCCTATTTTCCAAGAGCTTCCTGTAACAGCTTCACCTGACCTGTCAACCTTTCAGCCAAATGTTGATTTCAACAGGGAATTGACAAAAGGCATTTTTGTAAAGCATTGATATGACTAATTTTTCTTTTCTTTTATTTTAGATAAAAGAAGTAAAGCTTTGAAAGGTAAGATTTTTGCTTCTTAAAATGGGTGGGGAAGGAAAACCACCATCATTCCTTTCCAGGACAAGGTGTATCCGTGTTCTGAATTGAAGCCGACACGGGGTTCAATAAATGTATAAGATGCAGTGGGAATCCTTCAGAACATGATGTTTACTATGCCTGCTAGAAACAAGAATTCTGAAGTTCTCTTTCCTATAGTCTGAATGTTAAAAACCATTGCTCACCCCCTTGGGCCAAGTAAAACTACCTGGAGTAATGGAAAAATCAGAGGTAGCTGATGCCACCGATGAGGAAGCACAAGTTAGCTGTGCAAGGGTGCTGCCCTGTAAACTGTGTTTTGAGAGAAAGCACCACGTAAACTTAGGCCCTACTGCCGAACATTTCTTCACCGTGTCCCAAATGACAGTGAGACGGTAGTTATTTGAGGCCTACTGAAACCCAGGGCTGCTCAAGGCCTCAAGACACTCACCTGCTTCTTCCTCTCTGCCCCTGCAGGAGGGCTGGTGCGTGCACATTTTGATAGACAAACCCATCAACACACTGGGTGTTCCATATAGGAGTAACTCTCTAAACTTCTTCATAGTATTGGAGAGTGTCTTGTGCACTTTCTGACTTGTTAATAGTTACATAAAAAACTACATTCTCCTTCTTCCTTCCTTCCTAAATTGTCTCTGTATTGTGCTTCTCTTTCAAAAGCTTCGAGTCCTGCGCCTGCGCATAGTCATCATTAACCAGCTTTCCTGGAGTGCACATCAGATGGAATGTCAGTCTGTCTGTTTCAACAAACTGTGTTAGATGGGAATGTGGGACATGGCTGTACACTTGTAGAAATGCTATTTCCTTTGTGGAGTGAATAAATGTACCTGTAAGATGCACCGCTGCCTGCTCTGGGGTTCCTCTCGCTCCCTGTGTGCCCGTCGTGCCCTGAGTGGATCGCTGTGGCGCAGCAGGTGCAACCGAGTCTCACTGAGGTGTCCATCCTTAGGAAACCTGAGGAACCGAAGAATAAATATCTCGATTGTCGTAGGAGTTGGGGATCAGATCTAGGCACTCACACTGCTGATGTTCAATAAACATTTGTTAAACAGGTGATCCTGCTGCTTACTCTTGTGACCTCTCAGCCTCCGTTTGCTCGTTTGGAAAATGGAGATGCTGCTGTTTAGTTCTAGCTTAGAGTTACTGTGAAGATCAGTAAGAGAAGGTCTGGAAAAGCATTACTTAGACTGTGAAATGCTTCAGAAATAAGGCAGCAGTCGATCACATGCCGGGTGAAATGAGCTCTGGGAGAAGCCTTTATCAGGAGGTCACTTTTAAGACAAAGTACATAGTATAAAAACTTAACTGATAGTTCTGCTAGTTTGGCTAATATCAAATGAATACTGCATAATGTTTTTCTCCATATAAAGCAATTACCAAAACCCCTAGACGTGCATTTAAAAAAAGGATTCTAAGGCAGTAAGCGTGGGCTGGGAATGAGTCCAGTTTGAAATCTGGTACTCTGCAGGTTAGTGGGGGTCTGGCTGTGGAATAGAAATGACAGCCCAGATCCTGGTCTCTCTCCTTTCAAGACCAGAGGCCATCCCTGTTTTTGTGTGTCTCCAACATGTAGTGTCGAGTCTGGCCCATGGTCAGTGCCCAACAAATGACTGCCCATTGTGGGGTCTCAGAGCCTTGGTTTCTTGTAAAATGGGGATAAAACTTGCCTCATCAGCCTCACTCACCACCTCCCGGTTGGCTGAACGAGGAATTGGCATGAAAGCATTCTACAGCCCCGGTGGCAGTCAGCATTGGAGCCGGAGGATGGGAAGGGCTCTGTTCTGACACAGGAATCACGTTTTCTCTAAGCATTTGTTCTGTTCTGCCTCCTGAGGATGACTCAGCGCTGTGGTTCAGCAAGACCCTATCTTAAAAATGATTCCTCTGGGCCATCTCTTCTCATGCTTGCGCGTCCGTTAGAATCTCCTGGAGGGCTGTTTTCAGGGTGAGTGGGCCGGGTGTTTCTGATTCCATCTGGGAAGGAGCCTGAGAACTTGTATTTCTCACAAGTTGCCGGGGTGTGCTGATGTTCAGGGACCACACTTTGAAAACCGCTGATCCAAAGAATGGCACACCAGGGTCCTTAGGTCCATTACATCAGCGTTCACCCACGTGCCTGTCGGGCGCCCCAGGTGCCAGCTCTGTGCTGCGCTACTCATCACACTCAGTCCTGAGAACAGACGAGGTGGAGCTACAGTTCCATTTTCCAGAGGCGGAAACTGAAGCCAAGAGACAGTGGTGGGCCACAGGTCACCTCGCCAGTGCTGGGGCTGGGACTTGGACTCTGGGAGTCTGAGCTGTCATCCAGAAAGAGAAGGTGAGGACTGAGGGAACTAGCCCCTGAAGGGGATAGAGGGGCTGGTGTGCCGGCCCCAGGAACACATCCGCTTACTACCTATGGGTTCCTTCAGTTAGGATCATCTGGGTAAATAATTTGTAAAAGATGCTTGTCGCCCCTCATGGACCGGTTGCTCATATCACACCTTGTGCAGAGCGGGATGAGGGGAACTTACACAAGATGGAGCGTGTCCTCTGAAAGGTAGAGCAGTCTGGATGGGCACCTGCTGCAGGGGGCAGTCTGGATAGTGAGTGATACACAAAGGCAGACCCCCCACCCCCCAGGAAATTTTGTCAGGGACCAGCCATGGCTTAAAAATGGTTTCTTGTCCCTAAAATCCTAAGTGGAGGTGGTGTGTTTCAGGGTGTAAAGCAGGCTTTCGTCGCTAGGCCAGAGCCCACTCGCTATTCGCACATTCTAGTTCCTCGCGGCTCTTGGGGGCAAGCAGGTCGTGGCCTGAGGTGGCCTGTAGGTGGAGCCAGTGCGTGCTTCCAGACGATCGTCACGTGCAGGTGAGGTGGTGACTGCCTGGAACCGTGCTGGGCACCGGGGGACAGAGGGGACCCCTGTTCAAAGGAGCGTTAGCAGGCAGGATGAAAGGCATGCTGCAGAAGCAGGCCCCGCGGCCTCGCCCACAGCAGGGAACAGCAGTTTCCAGGAGGAACTCCAAGGAGGCTTCTGTCCTAAAGTCCACACATTCACCCCATCCTTGCTCAGTGCAGTGCTTTTCAAAGAGTACCGTGGAGTAGCCAAAAGGCGAAGGGAAGAGAACACGGTCGGCATCTGAAGATGTAACTTGAAACAATGTGCTCTCAGCCTCAAGGGAGACCCTGGGAGGAGTCGCCGTGTTTCTTCCTGTCACTGCATACCCCAGGGGTGTGTGCGCCCCAGTCGGAGACCCTAGAGGGTGTGGTTCCCATGCCCTCAGTGGAGTTGAGCCCCGAAGTGCCAGGCCCAGTCCATCTGCCTTGCTCTTACTGAACCCACACAACACCCTGTGAGCTCCTGCTGTTACCCACTTCACAGGCGAAGATGTGGAGGCCCAGACAGGACAGTGAGCTTACATTAGAGGATAACTAGCAGGTTACTGAACAAGCTGGTTAACTGGTAGAGCCAGGGTTCATGATCTGATTGTCTGCTTCAGAATCGGGACCCGGTCTTGCTGTTCTGCGGTCTGGCTTGCAGTAGCGTCTTCACCTGTGCAGGGCCCACGCGTTAAGCTATGGAGGTGTTAGCACACAGTCCCTTTCCTCCCAGAGTTTAGAGTCTAGAGAACAGACTTGTGAACAAATAACAACAGCGCTAACAGCACCTGCAGCAGGGGACATCTGTGCTGTACAGGTGCCACCAGGTGGGCGATGCGTAGGTCAGACCTGGCGTCAGCAGTCAGCACCTGCTCAACAGCTGACTCTGACTTAGATCTTTATTCAGACAAACCATTCCAAAAAGTCATTTCTGGTACATTTAGGGAAATTTGAACATGGACTGGATGTTAATTGATAGCAAAGTTGTTGTTCATTTTATTAGGTTAATTTGTTAATTACCACAATATTGGCATTGTGGTTACTGAAGAAAATGCCTTTGGTTTTAGAGATGCAGATGCAAGTATGTAGGAGTGAGATGATATCTAGGATTTACTTTATTTTATTCATTTATTTTTTTTTAATAATTTTATTTTATTTTTTTTCCCCAAAGCCCCAGTAGATAGTTGTATGTCATAGCTGCACATCCTTCTAGTTGCTGTATGTGGGACGTGGCCTCAGCATGGCCAGAGAAGCGGTGCGTCGGTGGGCGCCCGGGATCCGAACCCGGGCCGCCAGCAGCGGAGCACGTGCACTTAAACGCTACGCAACGGGGCAGGCCCTACTTTATTTTATTTATTTATTTATTTATTTTTTTGTGGGGAAGATCAGCCCTGAGCTAACATTCGTGGTAAACCTCCTCTTTTTGCTGAGGAAGACCGGCTCTGAGCTAACATCTATTGCCAATCCTCCTCCTTTTTTTTTTATCCCCCCAAAGCCCCAGTAGATAGTTGTATGTCATAGTTGCACATCCTTCTGGTTGCTGTATGTGGGACGCGGCCTCAGCATGGCCGGAGAAGCGGTGTGTTGGTGCACGCCCGGGATCCAAACCCCGGGCCACCAGTAGCAGAGCATGCTCACTTAACCGCTAAGCCACAGGGCCAGCCCTAGGATTTACTTTAAAATACATCAGGAGATAGTAAATGATCCAGTTAGCTTGGGGAGGGAGGGTGTAGATGAAGCAGGATTGGCCATGATGTGTTGACCTTGGTGGTGGACGCATGGGGATCATCACACTCTTCTCTCTGCCTTTATACATGTTTTAACTTCTCCCAATAAACATTTTTTGAAAAACAAAAGCCATTCGATGGAAACCTTTGTCGGTATCATAACCCCTATTTGAGGAGCGGCCACTGTGCAGCCCCACGAATTGAAGTACGCAGCGTCTCTGCACACTCTGTCCGTGTGTCAAGCAATGGCTATCTCGTTACTACTCTGCAAGAACACTGTCCCCTAATGCTGTTACTAAAGTGACTGAAGAGCCAACTTTCACGTTGGCTTCCCTCTTGAAGAGTGATTTAATGTAGGCCTGAGTTAACAACTGCCGAAGACCAGATGAAAAACGTCAGAAAACACACGTTTTACTTAGGAGCAACAACTTATGAACTGAAATGTTCATGATTATCAATGTTTCTATGCTGTCAGCTTGGTCTGCTTTCTTTTTTTCAAATAACATTTATTTGGTCTTTTCCTGCCATCTTTATGTTCAAGAAAGATACTCCCTAAGGAGCCAGCCCGGTGGTCTAGTGGTTAGGTTCGCATGCTCCACTTTGGTGGCCTGGGATTCACAGGTTCGGATCCCAGTGCAGACCTTACCTACACGCTGCTGATCAAGCCATGCTGTGGAGGTGTCCTACATACAAAATAGAGGAAGATTGGCACAGATGTTAGCTCAAGGCCAATCTTCCTCACCAAAAAAAAAAAAAAAAAAAGATATTCTCTATAATGAAAAGGTAGAGTATTGCAATTTGAAAAACTTCCAGTGCCCTGTGTCAGATGAATGCTGTTTGGCTGAAAAAAAAAATTGAATTTACGTGTTATTTTAAAGGAAACAAATTCAAATAGTTACATTGAACATTTGGTTGTTGAGTGTCCGAGAAACCATCAGAAGAGAAGCCAAAGGTTTAAAGAGCTCATGGCTGCAGGGAGGAGCCACGGCCATGGCGTTGTGTCACTCTCCTGAGCCAGACTCAGTGCGCTGGTGGCTCCACATGCCCGCGGCATGGATAGTGGGCGGCAGCCACCAGACCCCACATCCAACAAGGCAAATCTTGCTCCAGTGCACAGAGGAAGTAGATTTCGCTACACAGCAAAAGAGTGTTTCGGGGAGAGAGTTATTCAGTGCCTGCCATTTCCATAATCCTGAGCAGTGCCAGGCTCCCAGGACAGTTCACCAAACCCCACCAGCACCGGCCTGACACCAACACACCTTCATGTGGTAGGCGGCAGCCTGCCTCTCTGGCGCGGCTCCCAGCACCCACCACCGCCGGGCACCATGGGGGAGTGGGGGGAGAAGGGTCAAGTCTCCTTAGCCACACTTCCTGGACACCTAGTGGGGCGCACGCTGTGCCAGGGGCAGTGGGCACTGAGTGGAAGTAGAAGATGCTGTTCCTGCCTCCTTAAAAACTATACAGT